AAGCACGTCTTGAGGTCTTCGATCGTGAGGAACGCCATGTTGTGCTGGAGGTGGCGAAATCGAAAGTGAGTGCATTCGTTTCGCGGGCCGAGCGGGCGGTTGAACTGCAAAGCAAAGGGTTTTGCGACAAGGGTCACTCGTCGACCGACGTAGAGGCCACCCAGGTGAGCCAAGCGCGCTAACTCTCGGCCATTGTATGGCGGCGCGCCTCGTGTCCGCTGTAATGGGTTGCCGATAGCTTCACCACGAGGTTAACCTTCTGCCAGGTGGCGCGAAAGCCTCGTGTCCCATTGGGTCGATGAGCTGCGACAACCGACGCCGGAGCGCCGGAGATGCGGCGTCCGAGCGAAACACCGATGACGTCCGCTGCGAATCTGATCAGTGATGAACGACAACGAAAGGTCGTCTGAGAAGAGAGACGAGCGGACTTCGTTTTCTACGACCGCAAGTGGTTGGCGTCAAGGCGCATCCACAGTGCGCAGAGCGGCAGAAGCGATTTCGGGAGAGAGTGTACACAAAGACGCGTGCCCGAGAGATATACAAGTACACGCCCTGCCGCCTAGGTGCTGGAACAAAGGGGCGAGGCGATGGGTGACGAGGACCGTACAATGTAAGAGATATCCAGCGCAGCGCGTCCCGAGGTGGGTATTTTATTTCATGTAGCCACCTATTTTTCACCTTATAACAAGATGCGGCAAGGAAGGAATAATCGAGGTGCTTTCAATATGCACCAGAAAAGAATTCCCATAGCGACAAAGCGCTGATGGCACGCGTCCTGTAGGTCAAGAACCTCCGATTGTGCTTTCGATTTATGCCACACCACCTGAGGTTTAATCAAAAAATCCCACGGTAATGGAGAACGCCTCGTCTATGAAAAACGCCGTCCGAAGCCCAAGAGGGAAGTTTACAGTTAGTTGGCTCTCCGTCGGCCACCCGTGGGTCATCATGGGGCCTAGAGCCAGGCGAGCAGTAAAAAGGGCGCGATTGGTAACCCGAATGAACGGGCTCAAAGTGGGATTGCGCTATAGATTTGTATCTAGCGTGGGACCGTTCACGAGAATCCGCGAGAAAGACGAACGGTAGAGTCGCTCGGCGGTGGGCCGTCGAATGGGACGAAGCCACCCAAATAACGTTCTCGCGGCGTCTTTGCACAATGGCCCGCAAGCGTCGTACTGCATTGGGCAACGAGGTACTCACAGTTATGCGTATCGCTGCGCGCGCTCTATCCAACTCTATTACTATCACAAGTCCCGCCCGGTCGTTGACGCTGTTTTGAGGGATTTTGCCAACATCCCATGGCGCTGTGGCATGCACGTTCGTGTTACCGCATATATATATATATAGGCGGAGACTTCGCATACGTAGTGCTAGAGGTACGCTTGAATGCGTGGGAGTTGGCACCAGCACTTGGTCGTTGGGAGTGAGCTGCCATGTGAAAAAATGACTAGTCATAGAGTATTCTTATTGTCTAGTTTTGCCTGTTGAAATGAAAACTCGTATCTCCAATTGGAACGCTCATGCAGGTAATCCAATGCATGGAGGACTGAGGTGGTCAGTTGCTGCATGTGACGGTTCAAGATACGCTGTATTGTGTTTTATTATTCAATACATATTTCAAGCCCACACGTGGCAAAGCGTTACACCAGCTGGCCACGGTGCAGACCGATCCATGATCAACCACTCCATTCTCTGACCACAATCGGTACCACGATGGACAAGGTTGTCTTCGTGCATCTGATATACGATAACGCCGACATTCAAGTCGTCCTCGCCACACACCATCATCAGGATGACGGCAAGGATCAAGCACGGACAGAGCGCTGTCTCGTGATGGCGCCGGCACCGCGCTGGGACCGAAAAGGCTACTACCGCCGTGTATGATGGGTTTCTTTCTACGCCGACAGATGCCAGCTCTATGAGCACCCGTGCTACAATTTTGTCCGTACCGGTATGTATATACCATGTACCGACTTGCAGGTGTCGTCGGTGCACGTTGCGTTTGCCCAAGTAGACGCCCACAACTTCACACATTCACATTTGATTACATAGGTTTTTACACGCCAACCTTAAAAGTTGTAGTGGGTCTTGTTGGTGTACACAAAGTCCTGGAACTCGGCAGCGCAGAACGGGAAGCGCGGACCCGCCGGGCCGGGCGCGAACAAGGCCTTGCCCGTGTTGATCGTCACATAGATCGCCAGCGCCGACGTGACCAGGATCGAAAGAATCGCAAACGCCTTCTCGGGCAGCGACATGGT